GAGAGAGAGAGAGAGAGAGAGAGAGAGAGAGAGAGAGGCGCTGCACGGAGGGCAGAGGCAATCGCGACGACTCTCTCTCTCTCTCTTTTGCTCGCTCTCGCTCTCTCTCACCCCCCCCTCCCCCACGCCCAAGCAGTACCCTTTGTTTGGCTATGTGTTTCTTTTTTTCCTTTTCTTTTTGTCGTTTAGTTTTTCCCGTTTTTTTTCTGTACTTCAGATATAGGTTCGGGATGCCTACCCCCGGGAGTCCGAGCCTCGGCCCGGTCGGCCGAGGGCCGAGGCTCGGACTCGATAGCTGGGCCACCTACCGGCGTAAGCAGACAAACCAACAGCGATCAACCTGTACCTTGTGCAGCACAGGCCCTGGCCCTGCTCGAATTTTGGCCGGTACCCCTCAACTCTCAATCTTGACCGTCGGCGGTGTTGTACCGCACAGTCAGGATTGAGAGTAGACTGTCAGGAGGCGAACAGTCGGGGGAGGGCGGGAGCTCGCGGCAGTGTCCCTGGCCCCGCGACGAATTTTGGCCGGTACCGCTCGCGGACAATTTATGGCCCGTACACGGCGGAGGTTCCCGCGCGCGGCTGCCGGTAACGAACTTTCTCAGTTTTCGGAGGCGGCGCCACAGAGGAACCCCGGAACCCCGGCCCCTGTGCTCGACTTCGACTGTGTGTGCGAGAGAGACGCCGGAGTCTCTACTCTGGACTCTCGACTATCTACTCCGACTGTCTACTACCCTTCGCTGGACTCGGACGTGCATGTATGTGTAAGAGGAGGGGAGGGCCGGGGGGGAGGGGGAGAGAGAGAGAGAGGGAGCGAGTGAGCGAGCGAGCGAGCGAGCGAGAGAGAGAGAGAGAGAGAGAGAGAGAGAGAGAACTCTCCTGACTCCTTGGGCTGTCGGCTCGCTACGGTACTAAAACACCCACGCTCATCACACACATTTAAAGCATACACACACCCCCATATAATCACACGCGCTAATCACAGACGCACGCGCGTAGATTTTCGAGCGCAGCTAGTGCGGATTTGTGGTCGCGAAGCTCCTGCGGGAGGTAGGGTGCTGCATCGTGGAGGTCGAAGTCGCTGAGGATTGGGCTGCTCATTGCGTGGAGTCTTAAAGACGACCGGGCCACCGTAAATGAAGGTGAGTTAACCCTCCACGTGTATGTGAATGCATGTGCTCAGTTTTTCTTCCTTTTCTGTTCATTTTCTGCTTCTTAATTATTGTCCTGTCGTTTCTTCGATCGATGCCACGTCGCGTGAGTGCACACGCGCGCGCGCGC